TGAGGTAATAGAACCTAGGGGACAGTTGTGGGGATATATTTTCTGAGTACCAACACGTGGCAAGGTGACGCCGACGTGTCAGCCGAGGTGCCACGTGTCTTGGTCGTTGTGCCGAGGTCATCTCGGCTAGGCCGAGGTTTCCTCCGAAGATATCGGAATCCGAGATAAGCGGATAAGGGGCAAGAGTCCTAGAATGAAGAGGGAACTCAACTTGGATAAGGACAAGAGTCCTAGATTGGGAGAAGACTTCAGTTTGGGTAAAGATAAGACTCTTAGAGAGTTTATCCTAAATCCACTGGGAGTTCCAGATTAGCAGTAATCCTAAGTCCATTAGGGCCAGGCTCCTATTGGGACTAGGATTGGATTGGCTATAAAAGAGAGGCACCCCCATGGGTCTAAGGTATGCTTTTGATACTAAAGCTTGTGAGTTTAATACTTGATTTATCTTTGAGAGATATACTGACTTAATCGTCGGAGTGCCCCCGGGTGGTCGAAACCACCGCGGGATTCTTATATTTCTGTTGCAGGTCAGTCAGGTGTCATCTATTCTGCTAGTGCTCTCCAGCTGGTTACTAAGCGGGCGGTGTGGTCGGAAAATCACCCACACAAAAAATATTATATATTTTACGACGCACAAAAAGTCAACCATTAAAAAGTAAACTTTCTATGACACAAATATACTAGTCATTAAAAATATTTTACTTTTCACCACATACAATTTCTATCATAAATAATATAACCAAAATAACAGTAAGCGCCAAAACAAAATACTCATGCCAAATACTAAAATGAAATACTCTTCAAATTGGGCATAGTTCTCCCCGCCCCCCCCTCTCTCTCTCTCTCTCTGCAAATGCTAAAAACTCAACTAGTGATTTGCAGAAGCTCCTCTACCACACCCTTCCATTTCAACCCTAAATCATATTCTCACCAATTTCTCTCTCTCTCTCTCTCTCTCTCTCTCTCTCTCTCTCTCTCTCTCTTCCCTCCAATTTCTCTCTCTACAACCTACAATGGCCATGGCTCTTCTCTCACAAAATTCATCGATCTAGAGCTGCCATGGAGACTAGCAAAAGGCAAGAGCGGGTTTTTAGAGACTTCCATTACCTTTTACCGGTTCCGAACTCGCTCAACACTCACCATGGTTAACCCTCTTCCTATTCCTTTCTTCAGATCTAATTTCTATGTACTCTTTTGCTATTTTCTTGTTGGGTTTTTGATTTTTTGGAGAAAAAATTGTGTTTTTGACTTTGGGTTTTTTGTGTTTAGATGGATCGGTATCAGAGGGTAGAGAAACCGAGGCCAGAGACGCCGATTAACGAGAATGAGATTGGTATAACCACTCAGGGAAGGATGAGGAACTAAATTATTTATGCTATCACTCTGTTTCAGGTCTCTCTCTCTCTATCTCTCTCTCTTTCATTGAAAAATTAGGGTTTTGATTGAGCAAATCAAAAATTACAATTGTGTTTTAGGTTGTGAATTTTTATTTATTTATTTATTTATTTTTTCTTGAATGTGAGTTGAGGAAAATGTTTGAATCTGAATTAAAAAAATTAAAACCTGAATGTGAAATTAGGTTCTTGGTGAAGGAAAATAAATTTTTTGAATTTTTCCATCTTGTTATTGCTTTTCTCTGCATCCAAATTGAAGGGTTATGGTTGTTTTGATGTTTGATAATTGTTTTGGGTCCATCTTTTTCTTCTTCTTCTTTTTTTTTTTAATGAAACAATGGAAAGCTTGAAATTGGTAAGTTTTTGAGGTAGATCTGTTGATTGTTTTGTTTTTTCCCATCTTCTGCTTATCCATCCATTTTCTTGACATAAACAATAGTTTGTCCTACTTGAAGTCTGAATTACGAAAATTAAAGGCCTGCCTTAGACATTTTTAAAAAATTTATTACTGTCTTCAATTAAGATCAGCATTTCTGCTATGAATGCCCTCTCACTTAATGTAGAAACTCAAGTAGGTTTGATTATGTTAATTTCCAATTGGCTTTGTTCTTCTTAATATGGAAGGAAGACATTAAAGTTCATCACATTTTTGTGCCCTGTTGACCATTCTCCATATTCAGTTTCTTCCTTATCATTTTCTTATGTTAAAGTATGTGAATTACTGCATGGGTTAACCTTTACCTGTTCTATGCTTAATGACCTGGCATGGCTTACATTCTAGATGAAATCCTATTTATCTAAATCAATGATTATCTTATCAACATTTATCTTTATTTTCTTCCAAATAATGATTGGTCTGCTTTCTTTTCAATAGAATCTCATTCACTTTGATCTTTTGTTTTTCAATCTCACTATTTTCAATTTTTTCAATCTATGTTTGTATATTGGTAGAACATAATTTTATGTATTTCTAATGAATATAGATAATTAGACTATGTTATTCCTTTTTGTCTTGAAGGAAGAACATTTGAATCCTTAATTTTTTTCTTAAAAAAATGCGATGTTGGCTATAGGCATTGGGCTCAGGATAAGTGGGTTTGTGTTTGCTTCCTTGGAGCTTCGGTTTTGGGCATCGTATTGAGGCCAGACTTTAGCTAGGACAAGTTAGATTCAGTTGATGCTTATTCATTTTACTCCCTGAATCTTATGGGAAAACTTTGTTTATTTTCAATTTCAGCATCTTTTGGATAGTTTACACGACATAGATATTTACTTCATATTCTAATAGTGTCCATTATCATGGCTGGAATTACAGTGTTTGGCATGATTTACTATAGAAAGGCATTAATGTTACAAAGTTTACTGGAAAGAAGATCTCTGGGAGGTATTTTGTTTTGTGAATTCTTATTAGTCCTAAGTACTATTTGAAGCGAAGGCATAGATATTCTTTCTCATCTATTTCTTGTATCAACATAGGATGATTATTCTCAAGAAAAAGTCCTAACAACATAAGGTTTTCAGTCTTCCTTTGAAGCATGGGCACAAGCTGACTTAAAGTTCACTTACGTTATTTCTTACCAAATTAACTTTTAATCTTATATGAACTTACTTGTTTCTTTTTTACCTCGGCGCCTTTGTGTTCACAGACTATAACAGAATTCTTGGTGTGAATTAAAATAGTCTTATATTTGATCTTGTAGCTCAAAGGTTTTCAACACTGAAAATTTGAGGCTTACTGGGCTAGTGGCTCCATAGTGTTAGGGGGAATGTGATGTCAATGCCATGCGCTCAGGCTTCTCATCTGAAGTGCCTCTGTCTTGAATATTCTCGTACAGGAAAAATGAAATTTTTTTTTTTGTATATAATTCTAGAAACAATATATATATATATACACAATTCAACAAGCCTTTGTGTCAGTTATTTTGGGTCTGCTACTTGCATTTATTTTCTTCAGCTAACTATTAGAAATGAATAAATCAAATTTAATTAAAAAAAACATAGCATTATAAGAAATGAATTACAATATGGCATGAATTCACAATTGATGCACACAAAAAAATTGAGAATTAAGGAAACTCTACTGAAACTGGGAAATCAGATGGCAAAGGAGCATGTAAGGAAATTGAAAAGAAATTGGTTATCATGGATTCTGGAGGTGAAGGAAAACTTTCTGTTCACTAAGGGAGGCTGGGAGCTGAAATAATTAACAATCATGGAGGTGGTTTCAGGTTGCTGCCATCCCAGTGGAGCCCTCTCCTTAATTGCGTCTTTTTTTAAATGTCATCAAGATTTCAGTTTAGCAAATTCATCTAAATCTTGTTTTTCTTTTTTGAAATCTAAATTTCTATTTTTTTTTTCCACTCTAAAATTTAAAACAGCTGTAGCAGATTATTTAGTTGCCTATTAGACAATTATTCCATGTCACTCATAGGGCCTTCTTTGTCATAGAACCTTTTAAAACAATTGATTAGTCGGCTAGATGAGGAAAATGGTTTTGAAACATCCTTTCTTTTTTGTAAAGTGCCAGTGTATAGTCCAACCTTGCCTCGTGTCACCTCTACACAACTTAGATGCCTCCACATATTAGCAAATTCATGTGACACATAGACCCTTAATGTTAGGACATGACTCTGCTCCAGCTCCAGCTCCAGCTCTGGCTCCGCTTTATTAGGTTGAGCTATCTTGTCCCTAATCATAGATCAATGCATATGGTGCCATGACCTTGGACCTGGAGATTGAAGGCAACATATCTAGACACACTTCAATCCCCATATGCGCAATATGCAAACTTGGTACACAATTATTTTCCTTCATTAACTTAGCCTTGTATATGCCTTGGTGCATGGGAGTGGCTTGAGCTTGATTTGGTGTCATGGTGTAGTCCACCCACAAGTACCAAAAATACTTGTGGGGAGGGAATGTGTTTGAAAGACAAGTAGAATAACAATTCTTAGATACACCTAGAAACATTGTCCAAATTTAAAATAAAATTTCATAGTTTCAAATATTTCAATGCCACTTATTGGATTCTTCTCTACTAGTCCCTAACACAATCTATGTAGTGAATATCTCAATAAGAACCTTGTTAAGAATTCTTCGGAATGCAACTCCCACACTATAAATGTCTTGAAATATTTCTAATAAGAATACATCATTTACATGGCCAACATTATATGTGGTGGACAACTATTAATAGAATAAGAGAATATATAACAAAAGTTAAACACAAATATAATGAGAAAACAAGTATTAGGAATATGCATCATATATATGACATTCTCTAGATGCTTGAACTAATTAATTATTTTCTTTTTGTTTTTCATTAAGCCATTACTCAGAGAAGCATAGTGTTTTCTCTTTTATTTTAGATGAGAGGTGTTTGACGAATTTCCAATTCAGAACAGTAACAAATTGAGTATACTTTAGAGACAATGACTAAGGAAGCTTCAGCGAAATGGAGACAATTCTCTAGGAAGGTAAGCTTCGTCTGTTAATAAAAAATATATATATCACTACTAGAAAAATAACTTTTTGCCTCTATTTTTTTACGACTGATTATTTATCCCTTCACCTTCCAATTCTCACCTCTCTCTCTCTCTCTCTCTCTCTCTCTATGTATATATATAGCATTGCTCTCACATGCTTGCTTGATTTCACCTTCCTTAATTCCATATAATTTGGTGAAACAGCAAGCGCTGCAGCAGTTTGTAGCACAGGGAGCTTGTTTCTAGAATCAGATTCCATATCTGTAGCAGTATCTGTAATTCAGGTCTGAGAAAGGTCAAATATCAACGATGATAAACTATGCATATTTAAATGTATTGCTCATCTGTTAACATTATTGATCTAACAACTATAAACAGTGATCTCTATTTATAGAAAAGTATTCATGTTAAACATTAGGTTGGGCATTACATTTTATCTCTCATATATTTTTCATTTTGTGAAATCTTTGTGTGAAATTAATTGATTCTGTTAATTTTTTAAATATTTGATGTTGGGCATTGCCATATGTGTCCTTGTTACAATATCTATAAGGGAACACATTGTTTCCATAGTTGTGTGAAAGAATGACTTAGTTATTTTGCATCAAGGTATGTACTTTAAGAACTTGGTGAAGTTCAAGTGTAAATGGAAGTTGACTGAGTGGATAACTTGTAGCTAATCTTTCATAACAAATTACTGGCGTGGAAATTATTAAATTGGGGTGTGATTACCATACCTGAGTGACTGACTGCAATAATTATTCATTATGATTCTGATGATAATTTTTAGTTCTTTCATCACTGCCTCTGAATTAATGTGCTATTAATTGGGTGGGTAAGACCAAGTGATGAGTTTGGTGCTATGTTGGTTTAATATTTAGTTTTATTGACTATCAAATAATTTCAAGTTTTGTTTGTCCACCTCACCTTTTCAGATAATCTTGGAGAAGATTGCCCTATCTTTGAAAACCTGTTTCAGTTCTGTCAAATTTATGCTGGTGGAACTATAGGTAAATTATGATCAAATGGTATTGTAATTCAAACTTGAGTGGCATTAAGTTTTCCTTGACTAGGGATTGAAGTTTTTGGCAGATGTTGCACGTAGATTGAACAATCGGCTTCGTGACATTGCCATAAATTGGGCTGGTGGACTACATCATGCCAAGAAGTGCGAAGCATCTCGTTTTTGTTACATCAATGACTTGGTTTTGGGGATTTTGGAGCTTCTAAAATATCATCCACGTGTTCTATACATTGATATAGATGTGAAGCATGGTGATGGTGCTGAAGAAGCATTTTATTTTACAGACAGGTAATGACAACTCTCTCTCTCTCACATGCACACACATTGCGCGTGAATGTGTTCTAGAAGGGAGAGGGGGTTGAATATGGAAACCTAAATTTTTAGGCGCTATTTCAATCTTCTTCCTAACTTACCTTTCCTGTCTTGCATTGAGTCTATTTCAACTTTTTATGTGCTTCTGTTGAATTTGATATGCAACTTTTTCACTCACAAGTTAAGTGTTTGGTTGGGTAGAACAATTTGTTTTCTTCGATTTATTTCCCAAACCCAAGCTATGCAAAATTTTAAATTTATTATTTCTTCAATTCAAATTATAGACCAATTATTGCTTGCTGAATCTGTTAACCCACAATCATAAGAAGAGCATCAAGAAAGAAGCCTGTTGAACAATCTCAAACATTACTGCTGGAAACAAGGAATAGATACAAGTAAGCATTCAAATATTTGCAACTGAAATACTCAAAGTTAACTACTATAAATACTTAATTGACTACTTGAATTTTATATCTATTTGTTATACCAACAAGTTGATGATCATGACTTTATTTTATATGAATTTATTATTATTAATTTTTTTAATATGGTTCTGGCCTTCATTGTATGGAAAAAAAATTTCTCTAGCCTTTTAGATGTAATTGATAATATATTAATGTTTTCTTTGTTTATTTTCTTTGCAGATTGGTTTTTGATGACGTTTGGAAGTATACTTGCAAATGAAGATCAACTGTTGAATTTTGTTTCGTGAACTGATACTTAGTTGTAGTTGCAAATCAAGATTGAGTGTTGATTTTTTTTTGTGGATTCCATGTTAGTTCATTTTGGGATTTGCTTTGGTGGTTTTTTTGTTATACTTAATGGTTTATATTATTAAAGTTGTTTGATGGATATATTTTGATTTATAATATAAATTATTTATTGATTTTTTTTGTGGAGTGATGTATAATAGCTAGTGATTTCTTAGTACAATTAAAAGGCTATTGCGATATGAGCAGGGATATTTGTGAAATAATAATTGAAATTGAAATATAAAGTATGTCACGCCCTCAAAATAAACCCATAATAACCATAACATTAACATGCATTTATAAGAGAAAACGAATCATTTGAGTTATTCATCAGAGTATTCTTATTGAAAGACATCACATGTAACATCCTGCAACATCAAAATAAATGCCCTAAGGGCTTACATCTTTCCAAGCTAACACTTGGACACAAAAAGGATGAGTACTAACTCAATTACAAGTTAAGCCCTAGGCTTGAATGTTTACATGAAATATCAAAATAACAAAATAAAACCTATAACTAAAGACAAGTCTTCAAATCCCAAACATCAAATCCTTCCAGGCTAAGTCCGTGGAGGTAGCTTATCACCTGAACCTGAAAATGATGTTCCCATAAAGGGTGAGCCACAGCCCAATAGAAAAATACTAAACCAAATATAAGCATTGAATAAAACTATAGCATTCAATAGATGGTTAACCAAGATAATCAATTTTATCATTAAACAGTCTCATGACACTAATGTCTAAGACACATTTCACTTTCCATTATTATCAACATGGCTCAGAACCTGGCCAAACTTACAACAGTGAATTACATATATCATATTCACTACTTCCAATATCAACAAAACAAATGAGACTCATGCTCATATCAAAACACTTCATACTTCCCATTTGATACACATTTAAACTTCCCCTATCTTCCCCTAAACCGTGGAGTTTATCCCCTATCTCCTCCCAAACAATATGCATATGCAATGCTCAATCAATACATGTATTTTCTGTATTAATTCAATAGTTTAAATTTATGACTTAAACAAATTGATTAGTTTCAATTTTCCCTAATCCACATGCAATGTCTACAACAAACACGACTATCCTCCACCGATAGCCCAAAACAGTTATTTCTAGACTGGAAATAAATATATCAACAATTCAATAGGCGAGTGATTTTAATTATCCAACTACACCATTTAATCAATGAATTCCTCAATTTCATGCATTTAACCAATTTCCCCAATTTCCTTAAATTAATTATACAAATTAATTTATTAATACAACTAGGGTTTTTCCCTAAAATTACCAAAGTACTCCCAACATATCAAAACACCAAAACTTAGGACAAAACTTATAGGATGGAGTAGGAAATCCCTACCTTGAAGCGAAGAACTCGAATGGAGAAGATGACGAAAACCAAAGTGCTCCAAACCCAAGATTGTTCAGATTAACCGGAAGCCCTCGACTCACTCTATCTTTTTAACAAAGGACTAAGGGTAGAAATACACTCTAAGTAGATCAAACCTAAGAGAGAAGGTGTGTAGAGAAAGAGAAAAGTTGGTTCTAAGGTTTTTCAGATCAAAAGGGGGATGAAAAATGATCCAGAAAGTCGGATCTCGGATTTATATACCAGTCGTTCCGCTCGAGCGTGTAAACCCCCGCCCGAGCGCCACTCACAGACTCCCGCTCGAGCGGCCAAACTCCCGCTCGAGCGGCGGATGCACACTCCCAGAAGTTTCTTTGCAGACAGGTCCCCGCTCGAGCGCCAAACTCCCCGCTCGAGCGTCACTCACAACCTCCCGCTCGAGCGTCCAATTCCCCGCTCGAGCGTCCAACTCTACACAGGACATACTGGATAGGTGTATTCCCCGCTCGAGTGTCCAAACCCCCGCTCGAGCGGACAAGCCAAAATCTGGGCAACTAGACTTGGTTCCTAAGCTCAACCAACCTGCTCCAAATCTTCCCAACACAACCCAAGACTCAAAATAAGAAAATAATGGATGACAACAACAATTATACAATGACGGAATCTACGGAACCTAAGTCCGGATACAATAATCAAATGGGAAAAGACCGGGGTCGCTATAAAGTATGGAATAGGTTTAGTGACGAATTTGTTTCGTCATTTGTACTTGTTATTATGATAAAGTGATTATTCGTCATTAATAAACATTTTTTTGACAAAATTTGTTGCAGCGCAAATGTAGAAGTTTTCATTGATTTTATTGTTTCGTGACGAAATATATTTCGTCACGTATATAAATATATTTCGTCACCCATGTATGACTTTTGGAGACGAAAAATTTCGTCACCTTTACATCTTACTGTGACGAAATTATTTCCTCATCAATGATCAACATTTGTGACAAATTTATTCGTCAACTAAAATCATAAATATGGTATTGAATAATTATTTGGTGACGAAAATGAGAATTTTTTATGACAAAATCTTGTTTTATTGGTGACAAAAAATTTCTTCATTGAACTAATTTCATTGGTGACAAAATTATTTTTCGTCATGATGGTTTTTAGTGACAAACATTCAATGACGAAGCTGGTAACGAAAATATTTCGTCGCAAATATCTATAGTGACGAAATTAGCTCTTTCGAGACAAAAAAATTTCGTCACTCAAGACCCAACTTGTTGTAGAACAAACAAACCTTTGATATACTCTCTTTAAACCATGAGTTGAATACTCAATAAAACATCAAAGAAAACTAACAAAATATCCCCAGATATAAGCCTTAGAATCCAAAAAGAAGATCCGGAGGACTTCAGGAGTAGTAATCTTAAAATCTGACCCAACACGCGAATTTATAGAATCTGTCCTGCGACCTCCGCTCGTGCGCCCAACAGCTTGCTCGAGCGGCTTCAGCAAAATATGCGCGTGATATAACAGAGGTCCGCTCGAGCGCGAAATCACACATCTCAGTACTTTTACAGGCGACCAAAACTGCTGGAACCAAGGATTCTCTGCTTGAGCAGGGTAATGTCCGCTCGAGCAGACAGACAACTTGGAATGCATTTTTGAATTTTGTTTCGGGGGCGCTGCCCCTCGACTGCCCCGGACCCGCCAAGGGGCGCTGCCCCCTGGACCCCCGCGAGCTGACTGGGCAGCTTGATCCTCATCATAATTAGCGAAGTGGCAATCTTGAAAGCATTAGCATCACAAACTTCTCTGAAAGGCACAATTCGGGTTGGATTCGCATCTAAACACTCATAGCCTCACTGAAATAAAAGTGCGAAAATAAATACAACTGAAAGGAGTTTTGTCAAACGGGGTTGCCAAGAATAAAACCTAACAATCTCCCCCTTTGACAATGCCGTGACAAAACACACCTAACAAATAAAATCCTAAACACCCCAACCCATTACAGCCTACAAAAGCCAACTTTTTTCTCAAGGTCATGATTTGCAAAATAGTTATTAGTGCCATAATCTCCAAAACAACTATTAGTCCCACAAGAGTATATGAAAAAGCAATAGACATATGACACGATTATCTTGAAACATGAGATGGAAAACATGAATAGATGAAAACTAAGACTCATGAAAAACAACTCTTAAACAACAAAAGAAAGACCATAAACCACACAAGTAATGATATGACGATGTAAATACCAGGAATAGACAAGAAGGGCAAACAGTGCATTGCAACATTCAAAACATATAGCCAATCTCCCTTACCAAACATATCAAAGTGTTCATGCTAAACAACTCTTGCAATGAAAAACCAAACTCCCTTACCAACCCAAATCAAGATGAACCAAACTTCCCCTCACTAAAAACAACCACAAACACTGAAAACAGTGAATAGGAAGAAAACGACAAAAATAATATGGTGGAGCAAGCAAGGAATTTCAGATTAGTACCTTAAAACACACAAGATTATCCAAGAATCACAATTACTAGAAAACACAATGTGCATAGTCTGTAGAAGATTCCTCATGAAAGAAAGTGATGCATTATGTGAAAAGCATAGATCCCATGATAAAAGTGTGTGTGTGACTCTTGGAGTTCGACAAACACTAGATTCAATCTTAGTCGTGATCTGAAAGTTGGACCTCCGACAAGAGAATCTAAGCACAACAAAGGAAAGTCAAACCACTAGGAATCAAGGGGTATTTGGTGAGTAAAGGCGGAGGCTCCCCCTCAATCAATGAATCTTTTTTTTCCTTTCTTTCTTTTGCATATTTTTTCTTCTTCTCTTTCTTTTTCTTTTTCTTTTTCTTTTGCACACTCATTGGCGGCTG